AGCTCCCAGCTCACGCTCTGCTCAGGAAATCTCCAAGTCATGGCCGGGCCGGAGCTGATCCCTGATCCCTGGCCGTGCCCATCCCCGGGAATCCGAAATCCCGGGATACTCCCCCAGCGCCCGGCCCTGCCCTCGGGAGCTGCCGCCACCCCCCAGCTCTTCCCAAAACCCCAAAACCACCCGTGGGAAACTGGTCTGGAGCAGCCCCGGGCTGGGCGCTGCCCTGAGCGGATGGGGACGAGAATTCCCAACAATTCCAGGCGCCTGGGAGGGGTTTGGATCCCGGGGGTGCCCGGGCGGCTCGGCAGGGATGGGCAGTGGGCTCCGGGGGTCCCCGGGGTCCCACCCGGCTGCCGCCGCTCCCTCGGCACCGCCCCCGACCACGGGGAGGCTCCGAAACACGCGGAGCTGGATCTTCCATGGAAACAGAGCTGGGGGAATTTGGGGAACGGGGGCTCCACCACCCGAGCCCACCCACAGGGCCCCAAAGGGCCGCTCTGGCTCTTCCCGCAGTTCCCAGGACTGGCCCTGCATCCCTCAGCACGGAAACCTCCTCCAAAATGTGTTTTCCCAAAAGCAACCCTCCCCGCTTCCCTGGGAGTGCACAGGCAGAAACCCAGGTGGGAAATCCCACTCCCACAAAATCTGATCTCTGCGAATTCCCCTAAAAACGCTCCGAAACGCCATTCCCTCAGAGCCACTTCCCAAAGCCCCCTCCCTCAGGAAATCCATCCCTGAGATCCGCTTGCCAAAACCCAGCACAAATCCCACGGGCAGAATTCCCGCTGGCCCGTTGCCCCCCAATCCTCCTCCTCATCCCGCTCCAAACTTCTCCCATCAAAACCCATCCTCTAAACGCCCCTCACATCCCCCCGGCCCCATTCCAGCTCTGCCAGCCCCAATCCCATTCTCCTGATCCCCGAATCCTCCCTCCCAGCCCCTCCGCGCCCCACGGCCCCCCCCTGCTCCCCAAAGCCGCTCCCCTTCCCGACCCCTTTCCATGCCGGACCCTCTTCCCAAAACCGCCGCCCTCCCTGTTTTCCTGACCGCCCATCCCGATTCCCAAAGATCCCCCTCAAAGCCGCTCCCATGCCCGACCCCTCCTGTGTCCCCCCAAACCCTTCCCTGACCCTTTCCCCTCCCTCCCACCTCTCTCCCTTCCCTTTTCCCGCTCCCACCCCAAACCCTCCTCTTCCCTTCTTCCCCTTCCCCCAACCCCTCTCCCCTCCCTCCCCATCCAAACCCTCCCTCCCTCCATCCTAACCCCTCTCCCTTCCCTCACCTTCCTCCCTCCCCATCTAAACCCTCCCTCCATTGCTCCCCTCCCTCCTCCCCCTCCCTCCCCTCCCTCCCTCCCTGCCCACCCAAACCCTCCCTCCCTCCATCCCAATCCCCTTCCCTCCCCTCCCCTCCCACCCAAACCCTCCCTCCCCTCCCCTCCCGGTCCCTCCCCGGCTGCCCCGCGGGGCGGAGCGGAGCGGGCGGTGCCGGGCGGGCAGCGCGGAGCGGCCAGGCTGGGCTCGGCACGGCTCGGCACGGCTCCGCCCGGCCCGCCTGGGCTCGGCACGGCTCGGCACGGCTCCGCCCGGCCCGGCTCGGGCCGCCTGCATGCGGCGGCGGCGGCGGCGGGGCTGCCGGCAGGGATGAACGGCTCCGCGGCGGGGCTGCCGCCGGGGCTTCCAGCGGGGACGAGCGGCTCGCCGGGAGCCCCGGCGGGGATGAGCGGCTCGCCGGGAGCCCCGGTGGCCCCGAGCGGCTCGCCGGGAGCCCCGGTGGCCCCGAACGGCTCCGCGGCGGCGGCGGGGCTGCTGGCGGGGGCCGGGGCCGCGGCGCTGGAGCTGGAGCGGGCGCTGCGCTGCTGCACCGCCGCCTCCGTGGTGAGCGACGGCAGCGGCGCGGGCGCGGACGAGCGCAGCGTGTACATCATGCGCGTGGTGCAGATCGCCGTCATGTGCGTGCTGGCCCTCACCGTGGTGTTCGGCATCTTCTTCCTCGGCTGCAACCTCCTCATCAAGTCCGAGGGCATGATCAACTTTCTGGTCAAGGAGCGCCGCCCGTCCAAGGAGGTGGAGGCGGTGGTGGTGGGGCCGTACTGACCGCCGGACTGACCGGACTGACCGCCGGACTGACCGGACTGACCGGAGTGACCGGGCTGACCGGGCTGACCGCCCGCAGCCCTCCCGAGAACGCGCGGGCTCGGCTCGGGGCTTTTCCTCCTGAAAAACGCCAGGCATTCGGATGGATCCCGGGATGCCGGAGGTCGGGATTTGTTCAGGGTGGCCGCAGCCGCCCGGCCCGGCCCATCCCGGCCCGGTTCCGCCGCCCGCGGCTGCCGAAGTAAAGCGTGCTCTGATGGCAACAGGTCTGGGCTCCTTATTCCGTCCGCCTCCACCCTTTCCCCTTCCCTTTCCCCTTCCTTTTCCCTTTTCCCTTCCCCTTTCCCCTTCCCTGCCGCCGCGAGTCCCGGGATGCGGTGGTGAGCAGCGGGCAGCGCCCGGGATGAAGCTTCCCCTGTCCCTCCCGGCCCGTCCCCGCGGGATTTCCCGTCCAGCCGGCCTAAATTTCCCCTTTTCCAGCGCTTTTCCAGCCTTTTCCCAGCGCTTTTCCGCCCCCCGCATCCCTGCGCGCCGGGAGATGCGGGAACTGCGCTCCTGCCCCTGGACCGCGGCTGTGGCCGGGGAAAACGCCCAGCCCAGCCCAGCCCAGCCCAGCCCGGGGGATCCCCTGCCTGGGAATACAGCGGGATTTTGGCTCTGGGAAAGCACAAAATCCAGGATTTATTATCCCAGCTCCGAGCCGGACCAACAGGTGACTTGGCGCGATGCGGTGCAGGGAGGGAGAAGCCGCTGCTCCCACGGGATTTGGATTTCTCCGTCCATCCCCATTCCTCCGCAGGGATCTTCCCGGGGTGTTTTTCCCATTCCCGGCGGCTCCTGGATAAATCCGCGTCTCCCCAGCGGCTCCGGGAGCAGCGGGAGCTCCAGAGGCGCTTCCCGGGAATCCCGGCAGCGGGATGGGGTCGCAGAGGCTCCAACAACCTGCGGGGGGAAAATCGCTCTCCTGGCGCCCGGATTCCTGCCGGGAAATATCGATTGTGCGCGTTTTTAGTGCTGGAAGCTTTTGGAGCTTCCCGGTTTATCCCGGGGGTGGAGATGGCCGGGCTCCCGAAATTTAATGGACACCCCTAGGAGAGGTTATCGGGAGTTGAAACTGGGCATGGAGAAGGTGAAATCCATTTGCAGCTGGGCTGGAAGGGGTGGAAAAAGCCAGAGGCGCTTGTGGGAGAGGCTGAGGCAGAGCAGAGCATCCCCATGGAATCAATCCCCCGAGCCCGGCAGGAATCTCGGCAGCGATCCCTCGTTTCCAGCCGCCTTTAGGGAAGGACAAAGAACAGATCTGCCTGTTCTCCCGGGAACAAACACACCCTGCATCGGGAATCGCAGAACAGAAATGTTCCCGGAGCATCCCGGCTGAGCTGGCTGCGGAGACGCATCCAAAATTCCCCTTTTTTACCCTTCAGTGCCGGAGGAACGCCAGGGAAAGAGGAAATTTTGGGTAAATCAGGAAGAGAGAGGTCTCAGTCATTCCAAAGCATTTCCAGCTGTTTAACTGGAATGTTTGTGGTGGTGTTGTGGAGAACACGAGCATTCCCAAATCCTGGAATGCCTGGGCACTTTTTGGGAGTTAATTCATCAGGAATCCTTCATTAATTACACGGGGTGCTTAGAGTGGAACACATTTTAATGAACCTTAATTCCCACCACCGGAATTCCAAGCCAAGGCAAACTCCTGGTTCTGACCTAAAATGATGGAATTTTCAGCCTCAATCCAAGATCCCTCCTTGCCTGGTGCCCCTACTCTAATCCAGTGTTCGTGGCTCTAATCCCTAAAAATATCCCTGATTTTAGGCAGGGAAATGCGGGGAAAAGGGTTTTTCCTGCTGGGTGATGTGGAGATGCTGGGACACATCCAGTGCATCCATGGGATTTGGGCTTCTCTCCCTCTGTCCCGTGGGGATTTGGGATCTGGCACGGAGAACAGATGGGATATTTATAACCTGTGCATGGGCTGGGAGACAGAGGGGGAGGAAGAACCCCTCAGACTCTGGGATCACCTCAATCCCACATTTTTGAGGCGATGGAGGAGCAGGAACCTCATGGGGAACAAAGGTTTTCCAGCTGCTCCCACCATTTTTAGGAAAACACCCGGAAAGCCGCAGGAAGAATCAGTGGGATGGACAAATTTTGGATTTTTAGGGCTTTTTTGAGGTGAACAAGACCCAAAAATTCCCTGCAGCCCCAAGCAGAGCAGGCCCCCGATGGAATATTTGGAATTCTCACGGAGTGAAAACTCCAGCGTGACTTTGTGGAGCCAGGGCTGGAATGCTCTCACCTCGGGCTCCCTGAATTCCCAATTCCTGTGACATCATTTCCATGGATGAATCCCAGCGCCAGCAGCTCCAGGGCAGAGCTGGGGGCCACACACCCCTCAGCGCTCAGCTCCCAGCTGGAAAATCCTGGAACAAAACCCTTCTGCTGGGAATAAACCCCCCAAAATCCCCCCGGATCCCAGAGCCAGCTGCTGCCCCAGGAACGGATTTTCCCCTTCCAGACAAGTCCGGAGGCTCCTGGGGCGCTCCCAGAGCCCCTCTGGAGAGGCTGGGCCGATATTCCAGCCAGGAAAAATTCCTTCCCATCACTGCCGGAGCTTCCAGCGCCTCTGGATAACCCCGAGAACGCTCCGGGATTTTCACGCTCCTCTCCCGGGCATCCTCGCCCAGCCCCGGCTGAGGCAGGAGCGCTTTGGCAGCGCTGCCACTCCGGGCGTGCAGGGGTTAATTCCAATTCCCCCTTCGGGCCAAATTCCCAACGAGTTTTAAAAGCGGCTCGGCTCCAATGAGGGAAATCAGGGAAATCTGCACCCCAAGTTGATTTGGAGCTGAGAAGTGAAATTTTGGAGGGAGGGAGCAGCTCAGCTTTCCGGTTTGCTTTAATATTCCTTTTTCCAGGTGGGATCCACTCCTGGATCCTGCAGCTCGTAGTGAAAGGATGTTCCCAAAAAATCCCAATATTCGGCTGGGAACCCACTTTAAAATCCCAATATTCAGCTGGGAATGCCTCTAAAAAGCCCAATATTCACCTGTAAAATATTTACCACCATAGAATTCCTGATATTCAGCTGGAATCCTGCTGTAAAAACTCCCAATATTCAGCTAGGAACCCACTTCAAGAATCCCAATATTCAGCTGGGAATCCCTTTAAATAGTTCAATATTCACCCGTAAAATATTCACCACTATAGAATTCCTGATATTCAGCTGGGAACCCCCTCAAAAAACCCCACTATTCAGCTGGAATCTCGCTGTAAAAAATCCCAATATTCAGCTGGGAACCCACTTTAAAAATCCCAATATTCAGCTGAGACCCCACTTTAAAAATTCCAATATTCAGCTGGGAGCCCACTTTAAAATCCCAATATTCATCTGGAAACCCACTTTAAAATCCCAATATTCAGCTGAGACCCCACTTTAAAAATTCCAATATTCAGCTGGGAACCCACTTTAAAAATCCCAATATTCAGGTGGGCTTCCTCATTAGCAGGAGCCCATTAATGCTCATTAACGAGCGGCTCATTAGGGGGCTGCTCCGCCTCCCGGGCCTGTCTGTGCCCTCGAATGGATCGGATCCCATTGATCCCAGCGGGAATGATGCTGGGGAGCCCCGGGGGCAGCGACCCTTCGATTCCTCTGGAACCGACCCAGCAGCGCCAGCTCCAGAGCTGCTCTTTCAAAATCGGGATTTTGGAGCTGTTCCTGGCAGCCGAAATTCTCCAGCCAATTCCCAGCCCCTGAGCCTGGAATTGTAATTCCCAAACTCTGGAGTCAAATGGTCGTTGCAGGAATTATTTTGAAGTGTTCAGGCACTTGTTGGAATGAAGGGTTGGTTTT